TGACCTACTTTTGAAAAACTTTAACCTTGGCCATAACTTTTGAACAGTTGGTGCTTGGGGTTTCAAACTTCACAAGTGTATTCCTTGTGACAAGACCTTTCTCTGGATATCAATCTCTTTGTCCCTTTGACCTTGACATAGGAGTTTGACCTACTTTCGAAGAACTTTAACCTTGGCCATAACTTTTGAATGGTTGGTGCTAGGGCTTTCATACTTTACATATGTAATCCTTGTGACAAGACCTTCCTTTGGATACCAACAACTTTGACCTTGACCTTCATGTTTTACTTACTTTTTAAAAACTTTAACCTTCGCCATAACTTTTCAACAGTTGTAGCTAGGGCTTTCAAATTAAACATTTTTTATCTTTTGGCCTGGATTTTGACTTGCATTTGAGAAACTTTAACCTTCGCCATAAGCTGCCATATGGGGGCATCAGTGTTTCACAAACACATCTTGTTTATTTTATTTTTTGCAATTGTGGATTCAAGTTAATTTATTTCATGGTGAAATTTGAACAAGTTCATGTTCATTTTTGGGAGATTTAAATTTTTCCATGTTTTTATATTGAATTTCAATATAGATATTAAAGTGTAGATTTACGCAAAATGCAAAATAAGGATGGCTTGATATGAAAACGTGATAAATATGTATTTTAGCAATAATAAATCCCGTATAAACGGTTTTACAAATTTTTATAACATACCTTTTGAGAATCTCACGTCCTTGAAAATACACATACATGCAAATGTTCTTTAAATAACATTTCTAAAATTTAGAGAGAGAATATTAGACATGGAAATATTGTATAAAGCTAATTAAGGAAATACACACAACTGATTTAATGTAAACTATCAATGCCACTGGTTTGCGGGTAAGTGGAAGCAAATGAATATACGTAAGCATAAAAAAAATTGAAAGCTAAAAGTTTGTAGAGCGCCTTTAATTTGCAAATATTATTTTAAAATCATTATGATAACACATTTTTTTGTTGTTGAAATTCTCGTTTTCACATGTTTGTTAGCAAAGTTACATGTATCATATCCATCTATTAAATAATAATAAATTGATACATGCAGTATATTTTAAAATATTCAAGTAAGAAAATTTGTCATATCCGCCATAAATCTTTTTTCCTGTCCGTGTTCCTTAAACAAGTCAAGTCGTATAGATGTAGTTCTTTCACATTAACAAGGTTTATTCCGTGATAAAAAAGTATGAAAATGTCTCTTTTTCTTTAGATTCAGTACTTTGAACTTAAAAAAATGGTATTCAATGGCTGCACCTTGCCTACATTGTACTTCGGCCCATCTGGCAAAGTCGACCACAGACGTTAATATTTAATCAATTTCGTGCACCAGGCATATAATTAGATTCCCATGGTAATCGGGTTTTAGGAAACGCAACTTTATGGGAACTAAGTTTGTTACCGAAGAAATAGGTCCGCACGACATTCAATACTATATCTTTTAAATAATACATAACTCGTAGCTTAACCAAATTAAATTTTGTCACCTTTGTACAACAGAAGTGGCCCAAAAGTTTCTACTTTTTGGAATTAGTTTTAAACTTTTAATAGATGTGGTCGTGAAAGTTACTATAATTGAACAATAGCTTTGAAACATCGCTTTTTTAAACATCAACACTTGACTTGAATTCACTTCTGGAAAAATATTCAAAGAAACAAAATAAATAAATATTGCCGAGAAATTTAATTTTGTGTCAAAATTGTAAAAAATTATAAAACTTAAAGAAATATTAAGTCATTTTTACTGTGTTTATTATCAACCAAACCGAAAGTATATAATATTTATAGGAATCAGACAGAAGTCTTTAGAACTTAGAACTTAATTGTAAATAAAAAAAAATCAGAATAAGATCTATTATGCCAGAGCTGCTGAATATTCATTGAACACGAAATCATAAAAGAAGAAAGTGATTCAAGGCACGCTATAGCTATGCCTTTGTTTACGGTTCTCAGACAAGAACAAACACAAAGGTAAATTCCTGGTCCCCCTGAGAATAGTGTTTATATAATTCACTGACTTGGAATCTCTCCACAGGTGATTAACAAAGATACTCCTGACTTTATATTATTTGTTTTATTGATTGCCATTACGTGCAAGGTGTGATTTTTTTGTTTAAAAAGATATTTCCATAATTTTCATCTGTTTTGACAAATGAAACAGCTAGACACATGAAGTAACAAAGCGAGATCTCGGAATCTAAATAATCTGTTTAACAGCACAGATACAGGAAAGGAAACGTGATATAAAGGAAACAAAAAAAGGAGGAAAACTCGTCCAAATTAAAAAAAAACACCTCATTTAATTGTTTCATAGATTTACAAAAAAAACTAGATAGGTAAAAAACTGAAGAAGGAAGGTAAGATAGATATTTTTATGCCTTAGTCAGTGTTAGTATTGTGATATTATGTATATCATAGCTTCTCAACTAACCCTCAATGTAATACACTGTATACGTGACGTACTGATAAGCTTTATCATCTGATTTTATATATGTTTAAAAACTGAATTTTCAAGAGAATACTCGTTAATTTTCATATGTATACGTATATTGAGATATTAAGTACAACATCAGCGTGTCGGCGAACATAAAAAAAATTTATAGACAACTCCAGAATGACTACTGTTGATTCCCGCCACCATAGGTTAATAGTACTTTTTTATGACGCATTATAACCGTATTAAGACTATTGGTGCCGTAATTTACTTTGTAGATGGTATTATGCACTTGTTAACGCATTGTTTTGATTCTATGTACAGCTTTATATGGCAGCATTAAAAATTTGCATTTTAACAAGTTTAATTTATTTTCCCCCATATGATCCGAGGTGTTTTCGTTTAATAGAATCACCGTTACTTTGGCAGAAAAAAAATATGCCAGATACATTTCTTTATTGAACCAAGGATCCAGACCATATCAATTCAAGAACTGACAGATGATAAAGATTATAGACATCCATGATACAGAACTGACTGGAAATACAGATTTAACATCTATGATACATAGAAGAGTCAAGTATATGTTCTACCAAGCCTTTTTCTTACTCCTCGACAAAATATTAACAGTAGTGAAGGAGAAACCTCGGGAGTACTGTTCAACAATATATTCAAGAAGTGGTGTTTATCAAATGTGAATACTTAAAAACTCCAAGGAACTTTTGAAAATTAGAAATCACAAATTTTTTAGCAAGATAAATAACATCAAAACATGCGACTTTTCAATACTTTTTACAACCATTCCCTTCGATAAAGTCCAGGCTTTTTGACGTCATAAACAGCTGCTTTTTCAATGAAAATGAAACTTGTAAAATCACTTATCTTGTCATTGGTCATTTGCAAAATTATTTTGTTAAAACATTCTGATTGTACACACAGTCAAGTACTCTGAAGTTGATATTAAAAAGATGCTTGAGTTTCTAATTGACAATATCTATGTAGGTTTTGGAGATCTGTGGCCCGTTTTACAAAAGAATTTACCTTACGACTAAGACTAAAAACTTCAGTTGATTGTAAAATTTTGCAAAATTACTGATTCTGTTTAAAATTGCTAGCGTAAAAGTATCTTTCTATGTTTTTAATGTTAATTAGAAAGTTACTTGCAGAATTAAAGTTTGGTCTTAGTCATAAGTTCTTTTGTAAAACGAGCCAAAGGTCTTCAAACTTTTTAACGGAATTCCCATCGCATCCCGCAATTTGCTGGCTTATTGTTTTTAATATATGTTCATTCAGCGCATTCTATTTGCAGAGACAACGTTATAACAAATGCTTAGAATTCCTGGGTATTTCGTAGAAGTAATCCAATATGATAAAATGACTTTGAAATCTTAACAGAGCGACGGTTGACCAAATTTGTATATCATTTCATTATTAAAATCGGATACAGTCTATTCATGTAAATGTTTTTTTTTTAAAGATAGAATTAACAAATTTACGAATAACTCTTACATCTTACGCAGGTAGGCGTACAGATGAGTCAACAATCCGACTTTATTAGTGTTTTACATGCCTTGCAAGCATTGCAAATGCATATGTGTTTACATTGTTTGCTACTGATGGAAGCCAGTTGCATAAACTAACCGATTTCTTTTTAAAATTAAAATTTGCTTGATGTAAAGGCACAAGCTATCAATTTTTCTAAGTTTGTTAACTGAAGTTCGAGTAAATTATAAGTTAAATATCATGGGTATGGGGCAACCCATATTTATTCTTGTTATACCATTTGACTACGGATTACTTCGTGTACCTGATCAATAAAAAGGCACCATGGCGCGTATGACCGGTCTCAACAGGGGATGCTTACTCATTCTAGGCACCTGATCCCACCTCTGGGCTTTCTAAGGGACTTGTATTTGCCCTTTTCATGATTCGTTTTCTGTACTGGATTTGTGAGTCTAATCACTGTTCGTTATCTTCATCTTTTTATTTCACACCTTTTCTGAGTAATATCTCTAAGCTTTCAATCTGTCATATAATATTATGAACCATCTTCGTCCATAACCTATGTTTCAAAAGTGTAGGGTTTTGAATATGTAAGGTTTCTTAAACTTAATTTTTTAAAAAGATGTTAGTTATGATATTTGGTAATTTCATTGGTAATTCCACTAGAAAATGCCTTCTATGCCATTAGAAAACATTTATAAAACTTTATCCTAGGAGTCAAAATATGATTTTGGATGGGTGGGGTTGGGCTCTTTAGCTTGTCCAAACCACAAACCACGGGCTGTATTTTTGACTGGATTTAAGATGTACATAAACTCAAAATATAAACACCGCTGGATGTGGATATCTTGCTTACGCATTTGTGTGACAGTATTCCTGAGATAATCTTGATTCCTGACGTTAGAAACTAATAAAACTCTTCTGAACTTTCTTGGGTGAAACATGCATTTTAAAGGAATAAAACAGAATAGCATCGGGATATATGTATGTAGATTTTTTTAAAAATCATGACTAATGGTTATTGTTTTCTTGTAGACGGTATGGTACTAAGTGTGCCGGCTGTGAGAAGGGTATTCCCCCTACAGAAGTGGTACGTAGAGCCCAGGACAACGTCTATCACTTGGAATGTTTTTCTTGTTTGATGTGCAATCGGCAGTTAAACACAGGGGATGAATTTTACTTGATGGAGGACCGGAAACTAGTCTGTAAAGCTGACTACGAGTCTGCCAAGGCGCGAGGGATCAATGGTAGGTGTATAATACATGGTATAAATGCTTCTAGCTTGTTTATGCTGATTTGGATGTCTTTATAAATATTTAAATGTATACTATTTTGTTAAAAAAGGTGAAATTTCAATTTCATAACTGACCCTGCAGGTTAATGATGCTAAAGTAGTACCAGGCATGCTAGAGTTATACAAGTTCAATTTCCAATGAAATAAAAAGAGAGAAATATTTATGCAATCATTTAAATGCTTAACAGAATGTGATTTTGCCTATAGAATAAAATCCTACTAATGACCAAACATATTTAATATCTATGGGATCCTATAATAAAGGGTACCTAAGTCTAAGATTATGCTTAAGTATGACATAAGTACATTCTTATGACAGTGACTAGAATGCCAAGATTTGAGAATTAAAGCAAAACTTTGGCAGCCGGAAAAGCTGACTTAAGTATGATGGACAAAATAAGAAACAGATAGACATAAAGGTTACCTAAAAATAATTTATTGATACGAAACAAATATTGATATTGTGAACATCGTATCTTCAATCAGATTGTCATATAAATTTCACAATAATAGGGTGTTCAAAGTCATTAAAGATCATCTGATGTGTCCCCAAAGAACACCAACGACACCCTGAAACATCTTTCCCTGGATGCAATTAAGTCTCCAAAACTGTTTAAATAATCTAGCTGTAGAGCTTGAGCAACTGTTGCAGAGTCTTGGGCTGCGGTTGTCTTTGGCGGATACACCCATCCCGTTCAACCCATGCATGTTCAATGGGGTTTAAATCTTACAATTAAGATTGCCAATGCAGAATTTTGATGTGTCTTTGGAAGAATACACTTGTCAGAAGAGCTGAATGTGGCTTTGCATTGTCATGTTGAAATACGCCCCAGGATACCGCATTATTAGAGAAATGTGTGGGCGTGGTACCTCGACAATGTACCTTTGCTCTGTTAAAGTCCGTTGTGTATAAATCAAATCGGTCCTGTCTGTAAAGGTTAACCCTGTCCAAATAATACCACTACAGCCCTCCTGAATGCATTTTTTACAAAACTCTTTTACGACACCTATAGATTCTGATTTTTCCATCAGGTCCTTACAATTCTATGGGTGTTAGATCACTGAAACTATGTTGGCAATGTTGAGGAGTCAGGACAATGCCAGGAGCAGGTTTTTCTGGCTTTAATCCCTATTGGTCTGAATTCTGCACATCCCAAGGATATCTGATATTGTAGAATGCTGCATGGTATTAAATGTTGACGAAGATGACGCAAGCCAATGAAAAAATCGGTACTTTTGTTGTCAAACTGGTCTGCCTAATCTTTGGGGATCATATGTTGCATCATGCTGTTGGTATTTGGCCCATTGGTGAGATATGGTGCTTTGTGCAACATAAAAAACCTTTGCAACTGTAGACTGCATGGCACCTGCATCCAGTCGACCGATATGTTGTTGCGTTGAGTATCATTCAGGCACGGTATTTCTTGAATAGTGTCCACATTCAAAGAAAACAAACCGTTCACGGTAGCTCAGTCGGTAGAGCTCGCGCTCCGTGATCGGGAGGTCGTGAGTTCAAATCTCGGCCGCGACTGACCTAAGTCGATAAAAAATGGATAGAAACTGTTCCTTCGCCATGCGCTCGGCACTTTGAAGTGAAAGCTGGGGGTCCTTCGGATGAGACCTTAGACCCGAGGCCCCGTGTCGCAGTAGGTGCTGGCACGGTAAAGATCCCTCACTGCTCAATGGCCCTGAGAGACGAACAAAGGTCAAAATTTGAAGCCCTTCACCGGTATATGGTCACGTCTCTATATGAGTGAAAAATTCTCGAATGGGACGTAAAACAACATACAATCAGTCAATCAATCAAAGAAAACAAATTTTAAAAAATTGATAGACTATTGGTAACTGAATCTTGTGAATCAGACACCAACGAAAAATAAAGAGTTACAAAGAAGAAAGAACAAGTTTTAGCATTTAAGAAAAAACACCTTTTATTGTTTATCATATAACTGCCCAGTTAGCAATAGCATAAAATGTTCAAAGTGTTTTCAAATGAATCAGGTTTGGTCAAAGTAAATAGTATGACCAAATTATTTTGTATTGTTCCCTGTACCGTAAAATTGAAATTTTAGCGAGACTCAAGTTTAGCGATTTGTTCTTAAAAATTGATACATGTATATAATTTTAGTGAGAGGTAATTTTAGCGATTATACACTATGAAAGATCAATCCTACCTCCTACACAGAATGAATTTTTAGCGATATTCAATGTCAGCGATCTAAACACACTTGGTAATATTGTAGACAGGTTATTTTTGCCCTTTCATACATGTCCTTGCAAACAATTTTGCCTCGTTTTAAAATCCGTCCGATCACAGTTCTGTCAAAGAAATTATGCCGTTTTCTTCAAATTCGCCCCGTCTTAAAATTCGCCTACTTGTCTCTAGGGCGAATGAGGCGAAAATAAAACTTTTTTACATTATAGGCAAATGCTTCTTCATTGAATATATATTTTGTGATTGTTCTCTTAATTCACTCCACAACTGTCTGGTTTATTTTTGAGTTATACTTAACAAATAAAAAAGGTAAAGATAGCAAACAGTCGATCTCATAAATCCTATAAACAATAAAATCGTGAACAGGGCAAACACACGGATCCTTTGAAACATCAGAGGTGTAAGCATTCATATTTGGATGTTTCACTGACTATAGATGTTAATGGGTAACTAACAACCAAACTAGGCCTATATGTCTTCAGCTTTTCCATTGTAAACCTCCCCCATTTATGCAGTATTTTTCCTCCGAGGCACCTGATCCCACTTCTGAAATTTCCAGGGGTCTGTGTTTATGTCCTCTTCACAGATTTGTATTGTTTATAGATCGATCACTGTTCGTTATCTTCACCTTTTCCATCCAATATTCACTGCCAATGGTTTTATGTCTTCCAACTGATTCGGCATGTTTTGAATACGATCAATATTTAAACCATGGAAGGCTACTAACAAATGAGTTGAAGTTACAGGGCTTTCAACATCTCGTTTTAAGTCAGCATTTCACAAATTGTATGATCAGTAAAATGACCTTGTTTGCAGATATCGTTGTAGATATCGCTGGGTCATATTTTTGACTGACTGTTTCATACCAATTGTTAAGGCATTGCTTTAATACTAATTCTGACTAGAGATTATTCCGTCTACCTAATCAATACAGGCTCAAGGCGGGTATGACCAGTCAGAAGGGGATTCTAACACCTCCTAGGTACCTGATCCCACCTTTGGTGTTTCCTGGGGTTCTTGCGTTTGCCCTGTTCCCAGTTTGTATTGTTTGCAGGTTTTGTGTTTGTTTGTTTGTTTGAATGTTGTTTAACGTCCCTCTCGAGTCCCTCACTAGTATGGAGACGCCACCACTTGCCGGTGGAGAGCTGCAAATTTGTCCTATACTCGGCACTTACGGCCATTGAGCAATGAGGGATCTTTTTCGTGCCAACACCTACTGCGACACGGGACCTCGGTTTATACGGTCTCATCCGAAGGACCGGTCTCCACGTCCCACAGCGGGATTCCAACCCACGACGTAAGGATCAACTCCTTACGCCGCAACTCTGGAGCAGACGCTCTAACCACTGCGCCACGCGGGCGACTCAGGTTTTGTGAGATCGATTACTGTTATCTTCTCCTTTTTTTCTTTGTTATATACAGCTCAAAAAATTAATCAGACGGTTATGGAGTGATTTTAGATATCAATCATAAAATTTACATTTTTTGCATGTATTTAAGTGAAATAGGCGGCTTCTAGAGGATTCGGTCCTGGATTATATCTCCATATTTAAAATTTTCCACACACGGTAAAATTCGCCGCTAAAACGCATGACTTGTAACCCAAGAAACGCGATAAAGTGTTGCTTATGAGTTGGAAGGTTTGTTTTCATTGTCTCGATACAAACAGTAGGTCTATACTACTAGTATTCGATACACAAAAGCATGTAATGAAGACTATATTTTCATTCATGTATTTATTATAGAAAGCCCATGAAATTGATAACAATAACTGCAATTTCAGGTGATAGTTGCAACAGCTGTGTTGCACATCACAAAAAATTCTATGCCGGAGAAAGGAGTAACTGTCCAGTTTAATGACAATGTAACTTACGATGCAAGTGTGATTGACGGGAGGGAAACAAATAAAAAAACCCGCACTGAGACTGTAATTATTTTATTAAAAGTCAGTAATTTCTGTTAATTCTGTTATCGTTACATACGATTAATCACTGTCTGTTTGTTTTTATCTTTGAACGGCGTCTTATTTTTTACCCTCTATCCGCAGACTTTTTAAATCTATATCCAGTCTTTTCCTTTCTATCTGATGTGAAAAAATAAGCTTTTATGTAGATAAATAATTTTTTTTCGTGTATCTCTAATCTTTCCATTTCTATGTCAAGCAAGTCTTGCTCTCGTCTTAGGATGGAGATCTTTTTCTTTTGGAGTTCTTCAAAATACTGGTAGACGTGGAGTCCCTGCTACATCTATCTTGACTGAATCAACTGCGATCTTTAAAATTCAATGCAGATGAAGATATCGAACAGCGATCCATAAAAAGAAACATATAAACAATAGAAATCTGTAAACATGGCATAAAACACGGACCCTGGAAATTCTAGAGGCGAGATCAGGTGCCTAAGAGGAGAAAGCATCCCCTGCCGACATCCTATCCTTTTAATTTCAACTTCAGAGTTCTTGTGTGTAGAATCAGAGTGATTCTTGCAAAGTAATTTTGCCATGGGTGTTTTCAAACAATATTTCAATGCAAAATATACTTTAACCTATAATAGGTAATTTAGGACTTTTATTTAAATATAGAAACATATATGAATTCTTTCATTAGTAATCCATTTTCTGTATAAGTAATATTGATACACAGACTCGTAAGAAATTCTGTAGATGTATAAGTTTTACATAGCTAAAATAGTCAATGTTATGGCATACGTCATACTTAAGGTGGACTTAGGTTTTAGGATTGCGCTTAAATTTTACTTATGACTTTACATAAGTCAAAATGTTACGAGCCTCAGCTGTTATTTACTAGTCAAAATAGAAGGGAATTTTGATGAACGAGTTTTCTTTACATTGAACAATGAATGAAGTCTCAGGAGTCACATGATTTATGTATTTCTGTGTTACACAGTGATTAAACGTAACAAGACAAATGTTGAATAAACAAAAGAGGCAAGAGACAGGAGAATATTGCACTTCAGTAAAAAAATAAGGTATATTTTGTAAGCGATGAATTGCAGTGTTTATCAGCTTGTTTCAGGTAAGAACAAGACTATTGACGTTCCGCAGTTATGATCGGTGTTATCTCGGCTCGCGCACCTGCGCACATGTCACAGTAATCAATAATTCCCCCAGAGACGTGATTGGGGATTGATTCGGGTTATTTGATCGAGGCTGAAGTACGTTAAAGCTTATCGTTTCACTTCATCGTGCTCATCTTTCTCATTGACTTTACATTGTGATCCAAAGAGAATCCAGTTCATTATATCATGTTCTCTGCAGTTTCGTCTTAGTAGTAATATTTTTTATGGCCAAATAAAAAAAATATCTTTATCGGCTGAATATTTTTCCCTTGATTTTTGATGAAGACCGAATGATGGTTATCTAAAGCAGTAAACACAATTTGCTTCTAAACTAGTTTGATCCGGTTAAAAAGAAACCTTCTGTATGAAGGATTTTTAAGATGGGTCAGCGGTCAGCCGTTTCATTGCTCTTCCACCATTGTAATGGATCGATAATATTATGTTTCAAGTACTTTTCCACCTTTATAGGTAAAGACAAAATAAACAAAACTAAATACATGTACAAACGATAAAAATGTTCTCTTTCTGTTTATATAATGATAAATGCATAAAAAAATTGCATCACCCGCTTACTCGGGATGTTGCAACCGTTTATCCTTTTATGAACAAAAAACAAAGAAACAAAAAACAAACAAACAAACAAAAACAAAAAAATTGAAAACCCCATTCAAATAAAGTATTTTTTCAATGTTCGTCGATGTTTCTAATCGCCATTTATAAGAACTTTACCACAGATATATTAATTTGTTACAGAATACGACATAGATGCAGCTAACAAGCGGCCAAGAACAACTATTACAGCCAAACAGCTAGAGGCTCTAAAAAGAGCTTACAACGAAAGCCCAAAACCCGCACGACACGTGAGAGAGCAGCTGAGTGCAGAAACAGGACTGGACATGCGTGTTGTACAGGTCTGGTTTCAAAATCGCCGCGCTAAAGAGAAGCGACTCAAGAAAGACGCAGGTAGAAACAGGTGGAGCCCTTACTTCAGACAGTTAAAACGCAATGGTGACCAAGATAGTTCTAATAGTGCAGACGACAGATCAGACATTTGTCTTGATGATGGTAGGTCTTATCTTACAGATATAGCAAAAGAGCAGAAGAATAAAACCTTTTAGTTACTATAATAAAAATATCGCGAGCTTAAGAAAAAAAGTATATATTAAATATATTTGTTCTGCACAATTGCAGAATCTTTAGAAAAATTAAAATTCTGATCAAAGCTTGGAATTACTGATGTTTTAAAATTTATTTTTTCAGATGATATAGATGATTTAGATGAATCAATAAGTCAATCAGGAAGACTGTCCGGGGATATATTTAGTTCGGGTTCGGGACAACCTATGGACAGAGAGCCCAACATGGGAAGTGTGCCGGTTGTCCCTCCTGAATCGCCATCCATGGAATCTTGGTCCCATTTTGGAAATGTTCCAAATAACCCGAATTTTCTTGGACGTCATTCTCCCAATATCTCCATGTCAAATTCACACTTAATACCCATGGACCCATTGCCCATGATGGGTGGTCCGTCCAGTGTTGCTAGACTGATGGGAGGGGATTTAAACGATAATTCACAAGGGTATTCCGAGTACTCGTCAAATTCAAATCATAACCACGTAGAAGCTTATTGAAACCATGTGTAAAGTAGGATAAAAATGTTTTTCATCAGCTTCAATATGACTTTTTTAACAACACACTAAAAATGTTATTAAATGTTGCAAAATGTTTCGAAGTCACGATTAATAGCTATATTGCAATGGTGTGTTATGATAAGTAAAGAGATCATAAGATAATATACAAAACACTTATTTGTCGCGAGCGAGACTCGAGGATAAAAACATTGATGATTAGAGTACTGTTTGTTTCAGTGGCTTTCATGTATTTTAGATATAGCGCAGGTCCCGTTTGTATTTCTAGTCCTATTGTTCCCCTTGGTATGTGCAATATTTATTTTGAATTTTATGGAGAAATATGCTTTATTATATATTGTGAACTTTTTTTCTCTTTCAATGTTTATTTTAAACTATTATTGTTATCTATTTTGTTTTAAAACATAAATTAAGCAACTGTTCATCATTCATCAAATATTCATATCTCTACTATATTTTATTCTTGCTTGGTATGATTTTATGAGTAACATATTGCATTTTCATACCTTTTAAATAATATTAGTTTATTTATTTATTTATTTTAACTGTTTAATAGCATGATAAAGATAATTTAGTGTAAAGTTGCAAGTTGATTTTGTTTAGAATAGAACATACCCTGAAGTCACTTCTATTGAAAGAAAAGGGAAATTGAAATCGATGTATACACATTAAGAAGTGATGAGAGCTAACTTTTCATACAATCCAAAAAAAAGAGTTTTATTCAAATATACAATAAGAGTTATTTTTCTATTCAAATTTTAAATTGTTTTCAAATTCGTAAATTTACATGCTATATCTTAAAGATATATACAATTTAAAAGATTTAAGGAAAAAAGAAGTGAAGCAAACAAAGCAATCCTGCTGGTTATTATAAGCTCTGAGGTGAAAAATACTCTATCGCGTCCATACAATACTATAACTACTTACAATACTCTTAACACTCGTATTTCCTTACGACCAAATACTCATACATTCCACGAAACATAAGTTTCATACATTCCACGAATCATGGATTAAATACATTCCACAAAACATGGATTTCATTCATTCCACAAAACATGAATTTAAAGGATTTTTTTTTTGACGCGAAGAACTTTTGAATATTGGTATGATTCCATTATATTTTATCCAGTCTTGAAATATATATATATATATATATATATATATATATATATATATATATATATATATATATATATATATATATATATATATATATATATATATATATATATACTGTTGTTCTGATTTAGTAAGGTAATACTTATTTTTTGTTTTTTGTGATATTTTTTTTCAAACTGTGTTGAATAAAATTTTCATCAAAATATATATATTTGTTTAATTTGTTAAAAAATATCAATATTTAGTTTACATATTTTTCGAGTCCAATGACTAAAGTTCGTCAACATATTAAACAATTTAGAGGTGACAATAGCATTAGCATCACGAATAACAATTATTTATTCATTTATTTAAATCTTTTTTTAAACAAAGTTGATCATTCTGATTTATTACAAAATTTAAAATATCAATGGCAAAAAAAAAGGAGAAAATTGAGTTAGATGATCTGCAGTTTAGTGACGCAGAAAACTGGATTAGAGCAGTGCATGGAAAGAACACTCTGTTACTTGGTCATTCAAAGTCTGTTAAAATGATAAATAATCTAGAAATATCTGTTAATCAATATTAGACTACAGAACCAAAACTAAGCATTTTTTTCCTAAAAGAAAAAAAAGGAATAAAGTATTTATCCTGATGATTTTACTTTCCTATTGTTTTGAATGGCATGTAAAATTTATGCTCAACTGAAATTTAAGCTTTCCTAAGAATATATATTTGAGATTCATTAAATAACTCAATATTTTTTAATGTTTCATATTTTCAAAATAAAAAAAATATCATGCATTGTTATCGGACATTTTTTTTTTTTGACAATATTAAATGAAAGAAGAACCACTGACGTATAATGTTTATTTGAGTATAAAAATTTGCAAGAATTATAAACTCTTAAGTTTTCACTGACTGTTATATTTTTTTAATAATTTGAGTTGTTAATGCTGCAAAAAATAGAATGATAACAAAGTAAATGATATATTTATTTGAAATAAATGCGTTTCTTACGTTTGTCTAGGTTTAACAACTGATGGAATTACTCAATTAAAGAACGCATTTTCATTAATTGCTTGTGACATACATTAACAATTTTATCAACCTCGATAATTTTTTTCAAGTTAAAACACACAATCAAATTAAGGGATATATTATAGAGGACAAAGATATCTATAAATCTGTGTACAATAGTGAAGAGTTGTCAAAAAATATTTTGAATATTAATGCAAAAGTAAATTCTTTATCTGCTTGAAATCAAAGTAAAATGAAATAGATTAAGTGCACATATCATACCAGACACATGAATATCTAAAGCCTTGGAAAGGTAAATGACCACGCTAATATTTAATCATAATACACAAGGCAAGATAAAGTTTATTTATTTCTCTAGAAAATAAACACAAAGCAAATTATCCTGAAGATTATTTTTATTTACATTTTACAATGGCTTTTTAGCACATTTAAAATTCATACCAAAATGTTTTATCTATCATCAGTGTACGAGGGTCATTGAAAAAAATTCGTAGAAAATATCGCTCTTCGCCATATTTATTTTAAGAATTTGAAGATTTATTTTAAAGTTTTGTCATCACGGAGCAATTTTAACAACATAATGACAAAACATAACGTCATAACAGTTTCTCAAAAATACATCACCTCTTTATTTAACAGACAGCCTGTGGCGCATCACCCATTTATTAAAAGGGTTTCTACACCACTTTACACTTAGTTTGCTTACAATTATTCGAGTATCAAAATAAATCGTCAATTTCTTAAATTTATTTAATGCGTACCTCTGCTTTTCCAAGTTCCTTAACGCTGAAGTTACTAACGGTTTGATCAGATTTTTGTTGATATCCATTTCCATGGAGGCGTTTATCGTCCAATATGGAGCCTCTAAAACTTAAAAAAAAAATCCTGTATCTTTTATACACCCAGGCATTGTTAACTTCTAAAATATGGGGTTTTTTTCTTTCTACAGCATTTTCTGAGTTTCTTAAGGCGTTTTTCCGAGAGCAACACTAAATTGCATCGCTACTTGCTGCTCGAAGACGTCCTACGACATCTTCAGCTACTACCTGTTTTCAGAAATTAATTTCTGTTTAATTAAGCAATATATAACAACAAAATTTGGCATATCAAATTATGTAACCATACCGCTTTTGAGTGTTTTATATTTATTTTGTTTAATGTCATTTTATAGCGATATGACTATTGACATAAAGTGTATTGTGATAACCTTACTAATGGATTTATTCCGTAACCCTATTTTTTTTTCAGTTTTAAATTTTGAATTACTCTGATATATATCATTATATATTTGAATTTTTAAAGCTCAAATTTATACAGATTTATCGTCAAAATAATTTTACCAATTTTGGTTATACTATAATGTTAAATAATTTAAAAAAAAAAATCACCGATATATAATTTTTAAAAAAAATCACAAACGTTTACGTATTTTTTAATGGCTCTTATACATATTTGATTAGCAATATTTTTAAATACAATTAAACAGCTTAAAATGAGTAATTATTCTTCAGCAAAATAAAAATGGTTTATGAATAGACTAACATTTAATTAGTGTCAAAAATCTATAAATACAACTTTATACAAAATTGAACAAATTTTGATCATCTTGAATTATTCAATATTTGAACATGTGTGAACATATAAAATGTCACTTATAAAATACAAATAAGGATTCCTTTCTTTTCACCATATTTAGTCCTTGATCCAGCATTTTAATTTAAATATTTAAGAAAACATACTTCCTCTCCTTGCCTCATAGATATCTTTCTGATACTCCTCCGACATTATCTTGTAAACCACCACAATCTGAATTCAATAACAAAATTATTATTTAATGATTTTTTAACTGTTTCAATTTGCAGTGATTGGAAAAAATGTGATATGCTTTACAGATATATAACAAGCATTAATAAATAACACAGGCACTTTAAACTTAGAAAAAGAACTTTTTTACAGTAAATTTTTAAGATCATTGCTAACACGAGCAAGAATTTGGTAGGCATTCAGGGAGTCATTGTTAAAATTGCAGAATATTGGCTTGGAGGTGAATCGAAAATGAAACTCGCTAAATGGCCACGAATGCTTGAGGCAATTGAGACCAGAATTTCCATTTCACTCAGCGCCGATCGCTTTCTGTCACAGTCGACGTTTCTCCTAGCGAAAGATACAACATTATGACATGACTTGATATAAATATATTGATGACACGTATCAAGGGAAATTAACAAATTGACGGCAGGGGCGCATCAAAGCTCCGATCTATTGGTAACGGCGCTGATCGCGACACTAGGAGGCTGTATCGGCGAGCTGCCCGGATTATTACTGGAGATTCCACAGATAGTAGCAAATCTAGGCTTTCTTTTATGCCCACTATTACTCATTAGAACGCAGTGTTACATAAACACTTTTACAGTTTTATATTTAATCCTTTTTAAAGCAAGTAAATGACAGATGATACAAACTTTTTTCACCCAAACCTTCGAAAATAACAACTTAATTCTTGTTTATATAAGTAAACGGAATAAATTTAACCGCATAGATTTCATTTTTAATTCAAGATTTCACAATGATGTCCTGTAAAGGGATAAAAAAAAATGGATAGATTCCTAAGGGCGATTGCAGAAAGGTAGAATTTTGAACATTATAAAAGGTTTACAATTTCTTAATATATTAAAAAATTGATAAATTTGATATTTGCATCATTTACAACCAAAAGTATATCCAATAGATCCAAAAATATACACCAATCCAGGAAAGATTGTTTTTTGTTTGTATAATCTCTTCTTAATTGGAGTAAAATGATTCACAATAATGTCGCATATTGTATATAATCAATGCTTTTCATTGACTCCCTCTCTCTCTCTCTCTCTCTCTCTCTCTCTCTCTCTCTCTGTGTGTGTGTGTGTGTGTGTGTGTGTGTGTGTGGACCGCCATTCATCACTTTCTGCATGATCTCATGTTGACAAGAGTACAAGTGATCAAAGATGTTAACGTGCCTTGTGATTAATAAAAAGAAAGAAAGAAAAATAATATATTAGATACATTTAGGTCCCTACTCGGCATATTTTTTTTGGTTTAAAGTGGTGCTTTTCTATTGCAATCATTAGAATAATATATTATCATGTAATTAAAAAGCCCCCCAAAATGCAAATCTTGACAGGTTACGTTTCTGACTAGAGACTCTAGAAGGCGTATATCCCTTATTTTATCATACTATCTGAACTGAAAAAAATATTTGACTAATCTAAACACAAAATCAAAGCAAAATAACATTCAAAATCTATCAA